TCTGCTGCAGTGCAGTTAAATATCTTTTTGTTTCTCTTCATTTGACAGTTTTAGGCTGATAATGGAAATGTTACAGTATGGAGTTCTGCTTATGATTATGTCAGGTGAGAATGATTTCGTTTTTATATTTTTTCACAGCTGTTTATTACTGTGCACGAGAGTCACTGTTAAACGAAAGACTGCAGGACTGAACAAAAACTATTCATGCATCAGATCACTGTAGCAACTTCCCCACAGTCAACAAATTATACTTATTTAGAAATGTTATTTGAAATATTTCAATACTTTCTCATAAGCAGCTTCTCAAATAAATAGAGTTCTGGCATGAAACTCAAGATGGCGCAGTCCGATAGGTCTAACTCAATCTGACCTAATGACATCATCACGTCACAGCTGATTGGTTCTCTCCTGTATCGGTAGCCAATGAGCTCGCTACTCAGCATTCAAATATATGACTAGGGCTTACCTTAGCAGTTGCAGCTTGCTTCAGAAACCCTCCACCTTCCCCAGCTCCACCTTTATAGATCTGCTACGAGGTGATTCATGTATGCTATATGGGGGTTATTTCATGTATGTTATATTTACAGCAGCAATATTTCTTACATGCTCACAGCAGCATGTTGTGGATGTATTGGCAGTAGCAAGTCTCGGTACTTGCTCTGCCGCAGCAGCAGCAGCGTAGCAGATCTATTCCGCCAAGACCAAATACATCAACATTGTCATGTACATTACCATGCCAATCCCTCCAAGAGTTGTCATGACAGAAATGAGTGTATAAAGGTCTCGATTAATTAAGATACATCATAAAGAGCATAAATTCAAATCCTTGAGGGTTGATCAATCAGCAAGATACAAAACCTGTACAGTTGCCATACATGACATTATGAAACAATGTCCGGAAAATATAATATCATATATTTTACAATGCCCCCAGCAGCATGTTGTGGATGTATTAGCAAGTCTCAGTACTTGCTCTGCCGCAGCAGATCTATTCCACCAAGACCAAATACATCAACATTGTCATGTACATTACCATGCCAATCCCTCCAAGAGTTGTCATGACAGAAATGAGTGTATAAAGGTCTTGATTAATTAAGGTACATCATAAAGAGCATAGATTCAAATCCTTGAGGGTTGATCAATCAGCAAGATACAAAACCTGTACAGTTGCCATACATGAAATTATGAAACAATGTCCGGAAAATATAATATCATATATTTTACATAACACATTTTATTATAGCTGAACACATATTTATAAACTTTTATCAGACTTTATATATATATACATAAATACACAATAGACAGAAAGACAATGGATAATTTCTATGTATACTGTATGAATATATACATATAAATGTGAACATATATCATATAAATCTATTCAAATATTTATACATGCACAGTACTAAATTTTATTACATACACATCTATAGCTATATTAGTATGTTACTGAATATAAAATTACATAAATTATGTTATACAAGTAAACATATTTTTCAATATTTCAATTATATATGTATATTTATTTACCCTCAGCATGGTTTTGCAACAAGAAGTTCAGCATGGTTTTGCGACAACAACAACCTGATATAAAAAAAGTGCTGATCTGTGTTTGCTGTTCTACTACAACCCATTAAAGCTCTACAACTTTATTAAAGACCTTTACCCACTTTCTCATGAACAAAACACAATGTCACATCTGTTTGATGGAACTGAGGGGTTGCACACACATGCCTGCTGCAAATAATCACATTTATTCACTGAAGTTACAATTTTTAATATTCAGTATTTTAAATGTCTCTTATAGAATTAACAAACTAGGTATTTTTATAATAGAATTTCTACGTCATAACTTCACTATGCAATATGATGCAACAAGTGTAGCTTCCTTCCTTCCTTTCTGAGCTAGCAACTGATTGCTGAAACCGACTGAACAATGCTGGTGAATGTCCATAAACAATTCATCTTTCAACCATCCTCAGGCCCCACTTTGCCACATTGGGTCAATATTAAAAAAACACACATTGAAAGACATTATAGAACAAAAGCGGGGACGTGTAAAGTTCCTCTGGAGAAGGGGCTCAAATGTAAAAAAAGGGGCATATATATATAATTCTCAAATTCTAAAGTCATTTGCAAGTTCTTAAGCTTACACTTCACATAATAGGCCTGTTGGTGGCACTTGGGCTTCATTAAACCAACAATGATTGTGTCATCAAACGGTGTACCAATATGCAGTATGTACACACATGGTCAGAATTGTTGGTACCCTTGGAAAATATGATCAAAGAAGGCTGTGAAAATAAATCTGCATTGTTAATCCTTTTGATCTTTAATTAAGCCATATTTATCGGTTCTTCCGAGCTCACGTGTCAGAGAACGTGATGCCAGTTTCACAAGTGCTAATCTAGTCTGTACATGTCTGAATCGATGGTTATATCACTAATTTGCTACTATGCTATATTGCTATTATGTTTAAGTATATATATTATGTATAAGTAACAGAGTGAGTTTATATTTCATTACTAATTGGTTATTGTTATTTCTGTTTGTTTAGAACCACTCATACTAAGCTACACTCCAAACTACTCTGTACTACTCTGCCATACTCTCTGCTACCTGTACTACAATCATTCACTAAACCAAATTCAAGGACTGTAAACCTCTACAAGTCTTAAACCATTAAAGGTCAGTGGTCATTAAACCTGGAGGATCTCACAGACTCACCTGTACAGCATCTGGGTTTAGTGGTGACCAGCACTTAGCTTGGATCAGACAGACTGCAGGAGGAGGTCTGGAGTGGCTGTCATACATCTCTGCTAGTAGTACTATATACTACTCTCAGTCTGTTCAGGGACGCTTCACCATCTCCAGAGACAACAGCAAGAAACAGATGTATCTGCAGATGAATAATATGAAGAATGAAGACACTGCTGTATATTATTGTGCAAGAGAGACACAGTGATGAATACAGCTACAGTTCTGTACAAAATCTGAAAACAACCATATAAACAGCTCACTATATAAAACTTCAGTGAATAAATTAATTAAACTAATTAGATTTTTGCTTACACAATGCTATCAAATGTCTTCAGGAGACTTTGCATGGAGGCACGAGTCATATGGACTAATTTAACGATGCATTTAGTGAAGCTCTGCTGGTCATTATTTACTTTTGTTGAGAGCAACATTAATGCCCCATACAACAGAAATACAAGGTGATTATTATTATCTTAGGTGCAATTTTGCTATTTGACAATACAGTATGTAGGGTCAAGGTTTGAACCTGAGTCCCCTTAGACAAAGGGCTCTCTGGCTTTGTCCAAATACCCACACTTGCAGTCTTTGCACTTGACCACTTGATTACTTAAATGACGTATTTCCTGTATTTGGCCGAAGTCTTCAGGTGGGTGTGAAGACCACAAGTGTGTGTCGAAGTTTTCATTACCTGATGGGACACACTTATAGTGTTGTAAAAATGTGTAAAAAAAAAAAGTGTTTACACAGCTTTATTTTATCTTACTTACGCAGACTCCATGAAAAATCACTTCACTATGAGTGAGGACGTGTCTCAAAGTACACAGTATCTTGAAGCCAAGAGTCTGAGAGAAGAGGACACTGCTGTTTATTACTGTGCTCGAGAGACACAGAGACTCCATCTGATGAAGCAGCTCTACAAGAACTGACAGTAACTGAAGTGAGATGATGTTTAGCTTGATACCTTAATCCACATGTACATTATATCACTGAGAGTTTAATCTTGATTACAGTATAAATTTGTAAACTTTAGCCTTCTGCTTTCTAATGTGAATTATTTTCTTTCTTTCTTTATTATTCTATTCTATCTAAATAAAATTATACTTTCATTGCATGGAAAAACCTGAATTTTTATTTTTGGGTGAACTATATTTTTAAATGTGTATGTATGCTTGTGTGTTTCATTTTAAAAAACAAAAAGTTAAATGATACATTCAAATTAGAAATATGCAAATACTCTTTGCTTTGATGACTGAAAGCATGTTTAATAGTGAATTTAAACTCCCCTGTCCTCCCTGTCCTACTCCAACATCTTGAAGGATCTTTATCTAAGCCTTAAAATGCCACATCCAAGCACCAGTCCTCCAAAACCACTGTAAACATACTAACAACTACCAAAAACACCAATCATAAAAACATCTAACATTTACTGCACTCACACCAACGACAGTAACCGCCTGATTTCTTCACTAGTATGCCAGAATTAGGAAACGGTTAAAATTTTGAAGCATTGCTGCGAAATAACAAAGGAGCACATTGCTTTATCAAAGTTATTTGTATAGATGTTTTAGTTGATTTGATGAGTTAATGCAATTTGAAATGCATTTTCATAAACATACTGTACAATTACATGATGGCAAACCTCTGTACTGCCCTAAAAAGAAAATAAATGTGAATTATGTATTATATCAATCAGAATAAAAAAAAAATCTCAGTTCCAGTGTTGCCAGAGTTACCTTGTTTTTCAGAATATATGCAAATGTTATGATGTAGTAGGGAGGGTCACTATTACTTAAACTTTTAAAAGACTTGTGCTATAAAACAAAAGTCTCAGTCAGTGTTTGTGTCCAGCTGCAGTGAAGCTAAATATTTTACTCTGCAGTTCACAGTTTCGGTGTGATGATGGAAGTGTTACTGCATTTAGTTCCGCTGTTGATCATTTCATGTGAGAAACTCTTATTTTTTTCTGAATTGTTGAGGACATCCCACTGTTCTACATCATCTAACATGATTTGTTGCATGTTTTTTAGCTGTTAGTGGTCAGTCTTTGACCTCCTCAGACTCTGTGGTGAAAAAGCCTGGAGAATCAGTGACTCTGTCCTGCACTGTGTCTGGATTCTCAATGAGCAGCTATTACATGCACTGGATCCGTCAGAAACCAGGGAAAGCACTGGAGTGGATTGGGCGTATTGATGGTGGCACTAGCACTATTTTTGCTCAGCCTCTACAGGACCAGTTCTCCAGTTCTCTCCTCAAAAAATTATTTGATCCCCTGCTGATTTTGTACGTTTGCCCACTGACAAAGAAATGATTAGTCTATAATTTTAACGGTAGGTTTATTTTAACAGTGAGAGACAGAATAACAACAAAAAAATCCAGAAAAATGCATTTAAAAAAAGTTATAAATTGATTTGCATTTTAACGAGTGAAATAAGTATTTGATCCCCTATCAATCAGCAAGATTTCCTGCTCCCAGGTGTCTTTTATACAGGTACAAAGCTGAGATTAAGAGCACTCTCTTAAAGGGAGTGCTCCTAATCTCAGTTTTTTTACCTGTATAAAAGACACCTGTCCACAGAAGCAATCAATCAATCAGATTCCAAACTCTCCACCATGGCCGAGACCAAAAAGCTGTCCAAGGATGTCAGGGACAAGATTGTAGACCTACACAAGGCTGGAATGGGCTACAAGACCATCGCCAAGCAGCTTGGTGAGAAGGGGACAACAGTTGGTGCGATTATTCGCAAATGGAAGAAACACAAAATAACTGTCAATCTCCCTCGGTCTGGGGCTCCATGCAAGATCTCACCTCGTGGAGTTTCAATGATCATGAGAACGGTGAGGAATCAGCCCAGAACTACACGGGAGGATCTTGTTAATGATCTCAAGGCAGCTGGGACCATAGTCACCAAGAAAACAATTGGTAACACACTACGTCATGAAGGACTGAAATCCTGCAGAGCCCGCAAGGTCCCCCTGCTCAAAAAAGCACATACAGGCCCGTCTGAAGTTTGCCAATGAACATCTGAATGATTCAGAGGAGAACTGGGTGAAAGTGTTGTGGTCAGATGAGACCAAAATTGAGCTCTTTGGCATCAACTCAACTCGCCGTGTTTGGAGGAGGAGGAATGCTGCCTATGACCCCAAGAACACCATCCCATCGTCAAACATGGAGGTGGAAACATTATGCTTTGGGGGTGTTTTTCTGCTAAGGGGACAGGACAACTGCACCGCATCAAAGGGACGATGGACGGGGCCATGTTCCGTCAAATCTTGGGTGAGAACCTCCTTCCCTCAGCCAGGGCATTGAAAATGGGTCGTGGATGGGTATTCCAGCATGACAATGACCCAAAACACACGGCCAAGGCAACAAAGGAGTGGCTCAAGAAGAAGCACATTAAGGTGCTGGAGTGGCCTAGCCAGTCTCCAGACCTTAATCCCATAGAAAATCTGTGGAGGGAGCTGAAGGTTCGAGTTGCCAAACGTCAGCCTCGAAACCTTAATGACTTGGAGAGGATCTGCAAAGAGGAGTGGGACAAAATCCCTCCTGAGATGTGTGCAAACCTGGTGGCCAACTACAAGAAACGTCTGACCTCTGTGATTGCCAACAAGGGTTTTGCCACAGCTGTTCAAGAACTCATCGCGAGAAATGGGGCGGACATCGAAGTTACGCAAGCTGAACAAGGAGAAGAGCCTCTGAAGTGATATAAGGTCTAAAGTCCTGTCTAAAGTAAAAAAAAAACATGTTGCTATTAAAATGATTCTTTATTTCAAATCATACTTACAAATCTAAAACAAACACGCTTATAGTGCATTATTTTCAACGTGTTTATTGCTAGCATGGCAAAAATAGATTACCTTACAAGTAATTAGTGTGTGATGTAGTTGCTATGATAGCCTTACATGCTGATCTATGTAATTATAGTGAAATCACTTGAATGGTACACAAAAAGTGAATTTGTAAGTTCAATAAAGAAAAGCTAAAATGTGTTGAAAAGTGTGACAGTCCAAATTGACTGGCTTGGTCTGGGCGTCCCAAGCACAAATGTCAAGCTATTCCTAAGCTGGGGTCTCCAACACGGCACAATTTGTATATCTCCACAATCAAACAGGTCACCATCTCATTAGTAGAGACTCCAAAACCGGAAATGGGTGTCTGAGAGAAAGGAGACATTCAAAATGTGTAAAGTTGGGGGAGGGGGGTCCTCCAGTACCAGGGTTAAAAAGTCATTGAAGTAACAGTTGATGTATCAGTTGCATACATTAACCCTGATTTTGATTCACTACAGTAGAAAAACAAACCGTAACAACAACAACTGACTAGAATCAGCTTGGTTTTCTCAGAAATATATTTAAACCTCTCTGCCCACCATGTGTCACTCCTTTATCCTCACTAGCCTTTAGCCGGGGCTCAAAATGTCACATCAAAGCATCAGTCTAACAACAGCTGTCCACAGACCTCATATCAGCTATCACAAAGCTAACACTTACTCCACCCACATCAGTAATACAATATACAGACTGAAATATCCACTATCATTAGTAATAATAAGAACTAATACAAAAAAAAAAACATTGCTGAGAAATGCAGAAATTCAGGTTCAAAGACAACAAGGTGTGAATATTGCTTCAAATCAATCAGAATTTAATCAAAAATATTTTAATTAATTTTCCCATTGTTTCCATACTTACCACATTTTGCCTTTTTAGGGCAGATACAGTGTATGCAAATGTCATGATTTAGTCAGGAGGATCAGTCTCACTCAAACTCTCAAAGGACTGTGTTATAAACTGGATCCTCGGTCAGTGTTTGTGTTTTGCTGCAGTGCAGTTTCTCTTCATTTGACGGTTTTAGGGTGATAATGGAAATTTTACAGTATGGAGTTCTGCTGATGATTATGTCAGGTGAGAATGATTTCACTTCTCCAGATTGTTGTCACTTAATTTTTCTATACAATTTAACATTACTTGTTCCATGTTTTTCAGCTGTTAGTGGTCAGTCTTTGACCTCCTCAGACTCTGTGGTGAAAAAGCCTGGAGAATCAGTGACTCTGTCCTGCACTGTGTCTGGATTCTCAATGAGCAGCTATTACATGCACTGGATCCGTCAGAAACCAGGGAAAGCACTGGAGTGGATTGGGCGTATTGATGGTGGCACTAGCACTATTTTTGCTCAGCCTCTACAGGACCAGTTCTCCAGTTCTCTCCTCAAAAAATTATTTGATCCCCTGCTGATTTTGTACGTTTGCCCACTGACAAAGAAATGATTAGTCTATAATTTTAACGGTAGGTTTATTTTAACAGTGAGAGACAGAATAACAACAAAAAAATCCAGAAAAATGCATTTAAAAAAAGTTATAAATTGATTTGCATTTTAACGAGTGAAATAAGTATTTGATCCCCTATCAATCAGCAAGATTTCCTGCTCCCAGGTGTCTTTTATACAGGTACAAAGCTGAGATTAAGAGCACTCTCTTAAAGGGAGTGCTCCTAATCTCAGTTTTTTTACCTGTATAAAAGACACCTGTCCACAGAAGCAATCAATCAATCAGATTCCAAACTCTCCACCATGGCCGAGACCAAAAAGCTGTCCAAGGATGTCAGGGACAAGATTGTAGACCTACACAAGGCTGGAATGGGCTACAAGACCATCGCCAAGCAGCTTGGTGAGAAGGGGACAACAGTTGGTGCGATTATTCGCAAATGGAAGAAACACAAAATAACTGTCAATCTCCCTCGGTCTGGGGCTCCATGCAAGATCTCACCTCGTGGAGTTTCAATGATCATGAGAACGGTGAGGAATCAGCCCAGAACTACACGGGAGGATCTTGTTAATGATCTCAAGGCAGCTGGGACCATAGTCACCAAGAAAACAATTGGTAACACACTACGTCATGAAGGACTGAAATCCTGCAGAGCCCGCAAGGTCCCCCTGCTCAAAAAAGCACATACAGGCCCGTCTGAAGTTTGCCAATGAACATCTGAATGATTCAGAGGAGAACTGGGTGAAAGTGTTGTGGTCAGATGAGACCAAAATTGAGCTCTTTGGCATCAACTCAACTCGCCGTGTTTGGAGGAGGAGGAATGCTGCCTATGACCCCAAGAACACCATCCCATCGTCAAACATGGAGGTGGAAACATTATGCTTTGGGGGTGTTTTTCTGCTAAGGGGACAGGACAACTGCACCGCATCAAAGGGACGATGGACGGGGCCATGTTCCGTCAAATCTTGGGTGAGAACCTCCTTCCCTCAGCCAGGGCATTGAAAATGGGTCGTGGATGGGTATTCCAGCATGACAATGACCCAAAACACACGGCCAAGGCAACAAAGGAGTGGCTCAAGAAGAAGCACATTAAGGTGCTGGAGTGGCCTAGCCAGTCTCCAGACCTTAATCCCATAGAAAATCTGTGAAGGGAGCTGAAAGTTTGAGTTGCCAAACGTCAGCCTCGAAACCTTAATGACTTGGAGAGGATCTGCAAAGAGGAGTGGGACAAAATCCCTCCTGAGATGTGTGCAAACCTGGTGGCCAACTACAAGAAACGTCTGACCTCTGTGATTGCCAACAAGGGTTTTGCCACCAAGTACTAAGTCATGTTTTGCTTGGGGGTCAAATACTTATTTCACTCATTAAAATGCAAATCAATTTATAACTTTTTTGAAATGCGGTTTTCTGGATAATAGAAATGATGGTTAAGGGTCAAATAAAATGAAAATTTGCATTGAAGTTAATGTTGTCAGTAAATGTTAAAAAAACTACCATGGTAAAACAGAGTTCCAATGTCTAAAAAAAATAGGGATATCTATTTAACACATGCAATTAATTATGGGGAAAAAAATAACACGTTAAAATTATTAACACTTTAAACGCACCTTGACCTGGCCCAGTAACGAACACAATGCAGGGCAACGACTTACTGCGTGATGAAGCCTATTAGGATGCATTTAAAATGCCACTAACATCCAAGATATGCGGAAAAAAGCCTCATATGGGCATGTGTATAAATCATATTTAGCAGTAGGCCTATCACATGAGCAAAAGTGCCCCCCCCCGAATGTCTGCATGATTGCAAATGTGATATTCATTTTATACAACAGTTCAATAAACAATAAGTTAATAGTGTTACATTTTAGATACAGTATTGTCGATATTGTTTGTTTTTGTTCAATTTCGCCCAATTGTGTCAAAGAAAGATAAAATAGAGTTGTAACTTGTGCAATTTGAAGGAATCAGTTGAGTGGATGGCTGAACAACTCACTCATTAAGACTGATGCCACCTAGTGGTGGTTTTAGTTTCATATTTAAAGTATCA